ATGGCCAAAATTCGACCTTCTTCGTCCCTGAACACTCCACCTATACCTGAAGGGCCTGGGTTTCCTTCGCTGCTGCCATCAAAATTCAATTTAGTGAACCCCAAAGTTGGAGGAGACCAAGTTGGAAGTTGGAACAGGGGAATTAATCAACCGAGCGGACCAAGGTACTTCTTTCCAATTTCTAATGATATCTCTTGCTGAGAAATCCTTCAAATAGCTTCATAGACTTGACCTAATGAACCACCCTAACATAGATTAAATCAATGATGGCTTCTTTGTTCTTTTCTTTTTCATGGAAAGTTTGTTGATTCCTTTCCTCCCACACTGTCCAACATACAGCTTCTCTTACACATCTCCACAAAATTTTACCTCTCTTTTTTAAACCTCTCACTGAAGTAGAGTTAAACAAGCTTTGCACACTTTGGGGGTGGGCCACCTGCAACCAAAAAGAGAGAAAAACCAACACCAGATTTCTGATACAAAAGGACAAGAAACTAATAAGTGATAACAGCTCTCACCATTCTTCTTACATAAGATGCACCAGTGCGGAGAGTGTTTCAGACCTGTTGTCTCTTCTTGGTAGTGTTTTTTTGGACCCTCTTAGATTGGATATGAGATTATGGTCCGCTCATCCAAAAGATTATTTCCACCTAAAATTATTATTTTCTGCTGGAGGTGCTTTATAGTAAGATCAATACCTTGGACTGCTTGCAGAAGAAAAGGCCTTTCATGTGCTTGTCCCCTAATTGGTGTGTACTTTGTAGGGCTAGTGGTGAGGATTGCTCCCACTTACTTTTATCTTGTTCCTTCTTAGCCTTGTTTTCAGGCCCTGTGGGAATAGGAGACTCTAATAGAGCTGAGATTTTAGTGGCTGTACAAGGTATTCAGATTGCAAAACAATTAGGAGTTCAGAATTTGGTAATTGAAGGAGACTCCAAAATTGTTGTGGGATGGCTGACAGATCCAGGCTCAGCTATATTGCGATACAAAGACTTATTGAGGAAAGTTAATTGCCTCACAAGGAGCATGACTGTTACCACCCTTTTGGTAGAAAGTTCAGCAAATACCTTAGCGGATGGGTTGGCTAAGCAAGGGGCTTCAAGGGAACACTTATTTTTATCTGCACTGTAATTTTATTTCTGTTTTATTCCTGTCTTAACTTGATGTAATACTTAGGTAGAAGAGGTAACAGCTCGTGCCTCTCCATGGGTTTCCTGTAAAGCCTTAATTCTCTGGTTTAATAAAATTATCTTCATTATAAAAAACAGTTATCTATAAACTAAAAATACAAAAGTAATAAAAAAAACCAGAAGGTGCTTGCGTGGGCCACCTGGTGCCTGACCCGAGGCTTACGACTAGGCACAGAGGCGAGTGCCTTCCTGAAGTGCATGCTCCTTAACCCTAGGTGAGGCGCATAGCCTGGAACGCACCTTTTAAAACACTGCTTGATGGGGAAACTTTCTCTTTTGTCAAGCATTCCCTAGAATTTACAATTTGTCAATTTCAAAAAATTATTGAATTGCTGAAATGATAACCTTGGTTGAGAATGGGGTGGAATGGAACCTGGGACTTAGAAGATCTTTAAGAGACTGAAACTAAATCTAGTGTTTAAAAGCGCAAGGTGCAAAAAAGGCGCAGAGGTCAATTTGCACCTGAAGCACAAGGTGAGGCGTGTGCCTTTTTGAAGCAAGGTGCAAAAATAAAAAAAAATGCTAAAAAATCAAGAAAAAATGTCAGAAAATTCAAAAAATAAAAAAAATTAAACATAATATTAATAAAAAATATAAACTTAAATTTTAAAAAACCTATTGTCTAAAATTAAAATACATAAACATAAGATGTAAAGCATATCAAATGAGAATTTAAAAACAAAATCAAACATATAAAACATTTTCAAGCATGTAAAACCTCTAATCTCTTTTTTCACTCAATTGCATTATTTCAAGTAGAAAAAGCAAAAAAACGTCAAATTTTCAAGAGGTGCACGCTGGTGCGCCTTTTGAAAGGGCTGCACCTAGGACCTAGGTGAGGCGCATACCCTAAAATGCGCCTCGCCTGTGCGCCTAGGCGTGCCTTTTAAATCACTGACTAAATCCCCCTTTTAAAGTCACTTCGGGATGTTACCTTGTCACCCTCAAGAGTCGATAAGAGTTTGGTCACCTAGTACTAGGGGTAACTTTACATGTGCATCCTTTTTTTAAAACTCTTAAGTTTTTTTGTTGGGTGGCTGTTAACCAAATCATCAACACTTGTGAAAGGCCCCAAAAAATTGGAATAAACTGGGCTCTGTCACCTTGTGTGTGCCCTTTGCTTAAAGAGTGTGGAAAACATTAGCCACCTATTACTGCATTGTTCCTTTGCTTCTAGACTGTGGCAGCTATTTTTTTTTTTTCTTGTTGTTTGGGAGGGAGTGAGCAGCATCGAATGAAGGGAAGATCTGTTCATGGCATTATGTGGGGGTGGGGAGGGTGGGGGGGGGGCAGTGCTGTGGGGATTGTGGAGTAAATGAAATGCAATAATTTTTGGAGAATGCATAAGTAGGCGGAGGAAGTTTTTGAACTTATAAAATGAGGGCTGCTCATTGGGCAGTGATTTGTGATGATTTCAAAGGGGTTTCCTTTAATGATTTACTGAAGGAATGGCAGCTAAGCTTGTTGTGAGTTTTCAATGTAGCAGACAACCTAGGATTGTTGAATGGTCCCCTCCTGATGCTGGAAAGATCAAGCTAAATTTTGATGGGTGCTGTTTGGGCAACCTGGGGGCTTCCGGTTAGAGGGAGTTGTGAGGGATGAAAGTGGCAACATACTTTGTAGTTTTTCAGGGCTGGTTTGTGAAGGTAATTTCATTGAGAGCTGAATTGTTGGCATTAATTCAAGGGCCAAAGTTGATGAGGATGCAGAGCTTGATAAATTTGGAAGTTGAAGGGGACTGTCAAACCATCTTCTGTTGGGTGAATCACAAAATCAAGTTCCTTGGACTTTTAGATCATTGGTGAGACTAGTGCTGGGGTGGGAAGAGATGTTTTAGTTTAGGGTTGCACAGGACGAGCTTGTAATTTGTAATTTGGCTTTTTTTTTTTTAATCTTTCTTTCTTTTTTTATCTCTAGTTGTATATGCTCTTTGGTGGAGGGCTGAGTTGAATTTGTATCTATATTTGTGTTTCACTCAATGATTTGGATAATATTTTTTGATAAATTTTAATTTTGAATAATATTAGTAATAGAAGAAGCATTCATCAAAAAAAAAAAAAAAGAAGAAAACAGTAAAACGAGCGAGGAAATTAGTAACCCAATTGCAAACTTTACAGACTAACAGAGAGCTACTGCAGAATACACTGACGAGCTGCCTGGCCTTGAAACACCTTCAAGAGGAAAACGAGGCAATAGAGGAAAGACTAGAAGTAGACGTGAGGAAAACAAGGTTGATTGTGAAAATGCCTGACCCAGTTTCTGCTTAACAAATGGCTTCCCCCATTGTTAAGCAGGGGGGTCTAATGTAAGAGAGTTGATAAGTATACAACTATATTGAGACCTCAGTATGTCATTATGAGTCTGAACTATTGCATCTTTTCCGGACCCAGCAGGATCCCTATGGGAACTCACGGGGATCAGACTAGGCATGACCTCTAGGATATTGTGATCTTGCACGAGACGATCTCACTCTGGCTAAATAGTACTCACCTGATACAAGTTTCTACTTGGGGTGCCTTGGGCATGATTGACACAATTGTTTGGACCGAGACATGTGGCAGAATCGCGATGGAGGTCAAGGAGGTTGCACGTGATAGTACAATGGTCCCCCCAGGATATGTGTCTACACTCAGGGCACTCAAAAGCATGTGTAGGACCATACAATGGTCCCCCGAGGACACATGTCCTAAGGAAAACCCAGGTTTGTTCCCTCTGTAAAGGCAAGGAACATTCTGGAATGATTTGAACCATGCATGTCTCCATGGCAAACCTCTTCAATATATAGGGGGCTTGATCTCCTAATCGAGGACTTCGACATTCTCATTCTTACCCATCCTTCTCAGAGCTCCTTATCCTCTTTTAAGTATCTTCAAATTCTGGATTCCTCTAACTCAGAATCATAGTTGTCAAGCTGACGTCTAGGCGACAAGGCACCCTTTGAGGCTTGCCTCGCCTAATTGCCAAGCAGTTTTGAACTATGTATTGTAAAATACTTTTTTATTGTTTATTTTTTGACATTATAATTATAAAATAGGTACTATTAAACTAAAATATTCATTTTGTGTGTTTATATACTAATTTCTTTTTATTATTTTCTCATCTGTTAGGACTTAATCAATACAAACATTGCTAAATGCTGTATTGAACCCTAAAAACTTTCTTTTCCTTCTTTTTCTTCTCATGAATATGTTGATTTTCTATACTTTAACATGAACTCTATACTTTTCTTATGAAAATTATGAATAATTAGCAAGGAAATATGGCTATGGTACCTTATGAAAATTATGAATAATTATTAAGGAAATATGGCTATGGTACGTAGGGAACTACCATAGGATCTATGTTTTCTACATAAAAAAAAAAAAAAATCCATCGCCTAGGCGACAAGGCGCCCCCCTGATGCCCAGCCTCGCCTTGGCGCCTTGAAAACTATGCTCAGAATGATAGTAAAAAGAATGAATTCTCAGCTAACTATGACAAGGAATCAAGTTTAGGCTGGAGGGAAAAAATACCTTGAGGACTTCATTGTTCAACTCCCTTTTGAAAACCAAGATGGGTATCAAATAGAATGAGCTGTTGTTCTCCATTTGACATTTCACTCCCTCTCAAGTCATCATCTTGCATGCTTCTTCATTTATTATTCATATAACTTCAGATATGCCTTGTATTACTAACACTTCGTTGTTTTTGACTTTTCTGTACTGTGTAGAGATACTAAGATCTCAATGTTGAATGTATTACTTCTTTAATATGTATGTTCGCAAGTAATGGATATTCATAGAAAGGATTTTGTGCTTTACACTTATGCAGGATGAAGAGGATGAAGATGAAGCTAATGAAGAAGAGGGAGGGCTTAGCAAATCTGGGAAGGAGCTAAAGAAGCTGCTTGGTAGAGCAGGTGGACTGAATGATTCGGATGCCGAGGAGGAGGAGGATGATGATGATGTAAGTTCATATGATGCATATTCTAAAAGCATAAGCTGTGATGAACTAACAACATCTTTAAAGTGGTGTAGACCAAGGTTTAAAGTATCGGAAACGCAAGGTGTATCGGAAAGACAATTTTAAGAGACATATCGGGATACGTTTTGAATATGCATGGATACAGACGAAAAATCAAGATACGCATAAATATGTTAAGAAATTCATAAAAATCATAAAAAATGTATTATTAACAATGCTTACAAGTTTTATATGATTGTAAATAAATCATTTAAATGTAAAAAAACATAATTTAACTTTTATATAAAATGTGACATATTGATACATAATTAGTAGCCGTTGAAAAATGATGGAATAACTAAAATGTGAAAAAAACAAAAAAACTAAAATATGAATGTATATACATCAATTTTCAAATAATCGGTATAATTATTTTAATATATATTAATATATAAATTTTAATAATTAATTTCAGCATTTATTAATAAGCACCACTAAGAAAAGAAAAACAGTTGACTTAAAACTAAAAATGCATGTAATTGCACCAAACAAATTGGATTGGTTTAGTGGCGAAATTAATATTTGTAGTTTTTACACTAACAAAACGAAATTAATGAGAGAGAGAGAGAGAGAGAGTCATTAATTAATAGAATTAATGAGAGATATGTAATTAGGCGCTAAATTTCAAATTTAAATTTAAAGTTGCCTTAAATATAGGAGTAATTAACTAATTAATGAAGAAGTTAGACTTAAATAGATAAGTAACAGAAGACATTAATGAGAGAGATTTGGTATTAAATATAGATTAATTGAACAAGGGAAACTGAAACGGTTCGGTTTGTATCGGCTTATTTCCGGATTGTATTGGCCGATACAAATCCGAAACGGCCCGATATGGGCCCGTATTGGTCAATACATACGAAAAGATACGGAACACATGAATTTTACATGTTCCGTGTATCGGTTTCTTATGGAAACAGTACGTATCGGACGATACGGCCCGATACGTTACGATATTTTAAACCTTGGTGTAGACATAGCTAATATTAAATTATTTAGGCAAATATGGTATTTGGCATCATAATTTACAGTGCTCTTTGTTGACAAGGTTAGATGGAAGATGAAATGGGTATGTCCCCTGTACTGGCTCCAAAACAGAAGGATTCACCAAAAGAAGAACCTGCTGATAGCAGTCCTTCAAAACCAGTACCTTCAGGTTCTGCTCGAGGAACACCCTCAACATCCAAGTCGTCTAAGTCAAAGAGAAAATCAGCCGGGGATGATGGGAAAGTTCCTAATGGTGCTCCTGCAAAAAAAGGGAAGTTTGAAAATGTATGTCATCACCCCTTTCTTAATTACACATTTTTATCAGCTCATCTACTCATTTCTCCCGTAGTTGGTATTAAGATCTTGAGGAATGAAACTACTTGCCGAACAAATTATGCTTCTAGTGTTTTTCCTTTTCTACTGTGCTGTACATGATATGCCTTTTTACCCCAACACTGATTTTGCCATTTCCATGTCCACTCAGGAATCAAAATCTTCTGTAAAGGATGAACCCACATCCACTTCCAGGGGTAATGTGCCTCCAAAAGGGTCAGCATCTTTGACAACTGGATCAACACCCCCTACTGGTCCTGTCACAGAGGATGAAATCAGGGCTGTACTGTTGCAAATGGCACCTGTCACCACACAGGATCTTGTTGCTAAATTTAAAGCGAGACTGAAATCAAAGGAGGTACCTTCTTACATGTTTTTAACTTGATGTTTTTTAGGCATCTGCTTGAAATCATCTTTGCCAAATAATACACTTTTTTATAATAAAGATAATATTTGATTAAAAATAAAAGATAATACAGGGAGATAAAGAATCACCAGTGAGAGGGAAATACAGAAAACTGCCCCACAACATAATAAGCAAAACAACATTAACATCATCATAAGACCTAACAGAGGCCCCAAACATGCATACACCACAAACTTGAGATCTCCAATTGTCTTCTTAACTCCTTTGTCTCCTTCCCTTTCTCAAACCCACTAACCCCTTCCCCAGCGCCTCTCCTTGTACCAATTAATCCACTTTCACTGCTATTAAAGTCCCATCTCTTTCTTGCTTCCTATGATAATAGAATCACCAAAAACCTTATATTCATTCCTCTCTCTCTAAAAAAAAAAAAAGAAAAAGAAAAACTAAAGAAAAACCTGGGACAGTTTCCTAGCATATTTTATTCCACTCCAGTGTTTTAAAAGGTGTGGGAGGCGTACGCCTGGAGGCGCGGCGCTCCCAAAACGCCCTGAGGTGTATGCCAGAGGTGCTGACACCTCTGAGGCGTACGCTTCAGGTGCAAGAGGCGTACGCCTCATGCGCCTCATGCACATCTGATATAAAAAGATAGAAAAAAAAAGAAAAAAGAAAAAAAAAAGGATAGGAAAGGAAAAGAAAGGGAAAGAAAAAGAAAGAGAAGAAAAAAAGAGAAAAGGAAAGAAAAGGAAAGGAAAGGAAGGGAAGAAAAGATAAGGGGAAAGAAAGTGGTTTGCCCCCTGCCCCTTCGGCTGGGCTTCGCCCCCCAGACCCCCGCCCCCTTTTCGATGCAGCCTCGCTTGCCTTCGCTTCGACAAGACCACCCCTTTCAACTAATGTTATGCATCTTTATTTTTCTTAATATAAAAGATTTTTATTAAAAATAAATAATAAATGAGATCCCCCTTCCTCTTCATCCTCCTAACCCCTCTCCTCTTAAGGAGGCTTGTGCTTCCTTGTGTTCGTTCTAGGTAGTGGAACGCCTTGCGTTTAAAACATTGTTCCACCCAAAAGAGCAAATCAAGTTTTCTTGCAACTTGTACTTCTATATCAAGTTATTTACTCTAACTAGCAACGGAAGAAGTGCATTGTTTTTTTTTTTTTTGATAAATAAGAAGAGTGCCTTGTTAATATATTTGTTCCTCCCTGGTGTTCTGAATATTTAACTAGCAAAGGATTCATTGTTGCAGGACAAGGCAGCTTTCGCAGAAATTTTAAGAAGAATTTCTAAGATACAGAAGACCAATGGATCAAATTATGTTGTGTTGAGAGACAAATGATGTTTGGGCCCTACATTAAGCTTCTCTTGCGGCCCAAAATCTGGTTTTGCTTGAGGTACAGCAGTTGGTTTGTTGTAACAAATCAGGACACTGTTGTCTAACTTTGCTTTTCCATTGTGTACGTGTAGTATGGCATTATGACTTTTTTCTCATATCCACAATTGTTAAGAGAAACAATTGAGGTATTGTATCTTTAGAGGGCGCCTGTTAGAATATGATGCAAAAAGGCAACAATGCGGTTATGTAAATCAAGTGATGAAACCCCGGTGGTTGGGATTGGCCGTTACCATGATTTCTAATGAAATCTCCATAAACAAACACTTGTGAAATGATATTGAAAGAAGTGATTTTTATATTATTAGGTTCTACTTTCTAGATACCTAATCCAGGAGCCTGCTTGGTAGGAAGCGGGATCTGCTCCTCACAAATGGGCGCCTCACAGGCACATCCACCGTGCGTTGGGAATATCTTCCGTGAATAATAATTAGTAAGTACAGAAGATGTTTTCAATGCATGGTAAGGATGTGTGTGAGGAGCGGATCCGGTCTCGATTGGTAGTTGGTGCAACGTGCAATGGTATAATCTTGGACCGACTGTTGTTTACCCAAAAAATGACACTGAGAATGTAAGTGTCCATTTTGTGCAAAACATACCAGAGGTTGTCTTGACAAAGGGTATTTGTTGGTTTGCTATTTGCTTGACGGTTGACAAAAACAATGGTCGTTTCAGTCTGAACCAGTGAATTCATAGGCTTTTGTTTTGTTTTTATTTTTTCTTAACTACTTTGACTGTTAGTTGGATCTGTTTACCGCGATCCCTTGTTTACCGCGATCCACTAAGGATCTCAGAGGCACGAACAAGAAAGGAGATGGTACCAAGGTTTAAAATATCGATACGCTCGGAATTGATACATTTTTATTGTTTTTTTTTTATTTTTTTTCAACTGATTCACGGGGTCGGTTTAGGTCTCTTCTACCCCTGAATCAGTCAGACTTCCAATGCATCCATTGTAGGGGCATATCGGAGGGGTTCTGGAACGATACGGGTCAATACGTGTTGATATTTTGAACCTTGGATGGTATATATCAAGAATTAAAATATTGATACGTCAAATACTTGAGCGGGTATTATATTTTTGGGATAAGTACATTGCACTCAATTCAACATTTTATTTTTTGGGAGAATGACGGTAGAGCCTAGGGTCAGAATTTGTAGGTTAAACTACTGTTGGCGTAGGTGCCAGATCGGAATTGATGCCAATTCACGGGTGGGCGTTGATGCAGTGTGGGTTGTTGACATTTTGAATGTTTATAGCTCTGCAGTGGAAATAAAAAATCTGCATTGGGCATGTCCATACTTTTCGTATTATTTTTTTCACACCATTTATCATTTTAAAGTTTTAGTTTTTTAAAAAAATCTTCTTGTATATGATACACCTAGCATCCCATGTGAAGTGATAGTTAATTACTTTGTACTTTGGGAGTAGTGATTAGACATGTTCATGGGTCGGGCCGGGCCGGGCTCGGGCCGGGCTTTTACTCTTCATTAACAGAAATATGTTAGGCTCGAGCCCGAGCCCGAGCCCGAGCCCGGCCTGACCAACGGACCTACAACTTGGGCCCGAGCCCAGCCCTAATAAAAAGCCCGAAGCCCGAAGCCCGACCTAATAAAAAAAATTAAAAATTTTCCCTATTCAATAATCAATATAAATCAGAATTTATTTACATTATAAATTCAAAATTTATTTATATTAAAAAAAGAATATAAAAAAGGGAAAGAGGATGTGGAGAAGAAGAATTCGGTTGGAAAAAGAAGGGTATTCAACTAGGGTTTTTAGGTTTAGTTATAGGTCGGATCGGGCCGGGCTCGGGCCGGGCTATTTTGACAAATCCCGAGCCTGGCTCGAATTTATTGTGGGCCGGGCTTTTTGGCCCGAGGTTAAGCCCGCAGGCCTATATACCTGTTCAAGCCCGTCTGGGGGTCGGGCCGGCCCGTCGGGCCACTCGGCCCATGAACAGGTCTAGTAGTGATTACGGGGTGCAAATGGATCGGATTGAGATCTAATTTGGTTGAATTTGGATCACCCAAGGTTCAAAGCATCGAATCGTTCTAGGACCCCTCCAATACGGGTCTGACCAGTTCAGGGGGTAGAGGAGCCCTAAACCGGCCCCCCTGAACCGGTTGTGAAAAAATAAAAAAAAAAAAAGCTACTTCAGACTTTGATTCCGTGTCAAAAACAACTTCATACATATTAGAGACAACATACCCTGGCTGTTGGATGGACAATGGATCATCCTCAAACCTTGGATTATCGAAGGTTGTAGTGTGAGTGGAACCTACAATGAGATTGAAGTATGGGTTCAATTGCACGATCTCCCTTTCGAAATTTTAGCTGAACAAGTTGGTTCCCCTATATTTCAACGTATTGGTCCTATCCCACTTAGTGACGGCTGCCCAAAATTACATTAGAGCAAAAGTCCAAATCTCAATAGAATACCCCCTGAAGACTAGTTGTTTCTACAACACTCAAAGTTGGGTCACATTAAGATATGAAAACTTACCTTGGATGTGCTATCTCTATGGAAGAGTGGAACATCTTTTCTGTTGATGCTCACAATAGCTACCTCAGACAAGTGGTTGCTCCTTTGATCAGTTTTTCAGGAATCATCCAAGCCTACCACCACACCTTGAGACTAGATCAAAGCCTCATCATGGGAAAACTCAAGCTCAAGTGGAACCCCAAGAAGGCAATGTTCATCAAGAAGATTCGGAGGATATCCTAGCACTAGCCTTATCCCCCCCCAGTTAGCAAGAGTGGAAACCTCAGCCTAAAATGCCTATGAGTGTCCCCAACCACCTCTAACTTGTTGTCCAAGCCCGAGCTTCTCTTAACCAACTTTTCATGGTGGGACTTCGTAACTCAATGATGTTAGCAAGGGGTAAACGATCAAGAATCAACCTGTTAGAAGGGTTGGAAGTGGAGGATGAGAGACCTGACCTCATAGTTTATGAGTGGCCTGAATCCTCGTCAACGTAGGCGCTAATGAACCGGGTCATAGCTCCAAACCATATTCAACAAGAGACTGTTGAGAGCTCAAACCCGGATCAAGGCTTACACCTTTCAACTTCTTTGGTTGATGAGGAACTCCCATATGATTGGTTGATTGGTTTATTTATGGTTGCCAGTTAAGAATAGATTTTGGGCAAACCTAAAAGCTTAGCTCCAAACAATTGACCTCCCATATATTCTTATGGGAGATTTCAATGAGGCAACAGTAGCGGGATTGACTAACCCAAACTCATCCTGATCCATCTCTAAGCTGACATCCCGACAATACCGCAACATGATCTTAGATCTAAACCTCTTTGAAATGAGCATCAAAGGAGGAGGGCTTTCCTAGATCAAATGCTGAAGGAATGGACCCTATTTGATAAGAACCCTATATGGGGTTATTGCCTCTTTTGACTAGATTTCTTAGTCACCAAATGCTTCTTTGTCCTTGGCTCCAAGGTGGGGCTCAAACCATCACCCCTTGATTCTAGAAAAAAAAACCCTCAAATCCAAAGCCATCCCATGCCTTTTCGCTTTTATGAAATGTCGCTAGCAGATCAATCCTGTAGGAAAGAGATTGAGGAGGGTTGGAGCTTTCAAATTAATGGTCACATGGCCTACAAGCTAGCCTTGAGGATGGACAAAAAAAAAGAGTAAATCTCTGTTCAATGACCCCCAAAATGTCTTCACTAGATATAGGATGAAATCACTCAGGTAAACCAGAACAGCCTAGGAGATCATCATAAAATTCAAGAGCTATATAAAAACTTTGAGGAGCTTTCTCATCAGGTAGAAAGCATGTGGAGACAAAAATCCCAGCATAGGAGTACGAGGTTCAGAAAAAAAAAAAAAAAAGGAACCACATAGAGGGAATACAAGATGAGCAAGGGAAATGGGTGACAGAGCATAAGGACATTGCTAAAGTGTTCACATCTTACTTTTCATAGGAGTACGAGGTTCAGACAAAAAAAAATAAAAAAAGGAACCACATAGAGGGAATAAAAGATGAGCAAGGGAACTGGGTGACAGAGCATAAGGACATTGCTAAGGTGTTCACATCTTACTTTTCAAAGTTGTTTAAAGTCTGTGACACTGGAGACTTAAGTACCATTCCTTCCCTTTTCAACTCCATCATTTCCGCAAAGGACAATGAACAACTTTTAGTAGATTCCTCAATAGAAGAAGTTAAAAAAGCCCTTTGGAGTATAGGCAATCTTAAAGCCCCAGGCCCAGATGGAATGCCTGCATTGGTTTACAAGGAATGTTGCGATTTAATGGGAGAGAATGTTATCTTTTTAGCCAAGAGTTTTTCTAGATAAAGAAAATTCTCAGGAGACTGAACCATACCTTCATATGTCTAAATCCTAAGAAAGTAGCTTATGTCAAAGTCCAGGATTTCAAACCTATCAGTCTGTGTAATGTTCTCTACAATGTCCTGGCTAAGATCCTAGCCAACCGTCTCTGTCCTCTTCTAGACAAATGTATTTTCCCAACATAAGCTCTCTTTGTCCCTGTAAGGCAAGCTTCCAAATGACTGACAATATCTTAATTTCTCATGAGATATTCCACTTTTTGAAACACCATAAAAAGGGTATGGGATACGTGGCCATTAAATTGGACATGTCCAAAGCCTATGACAGGCTAGAGCGGTCGTTTCTCATCAAGGTGCTAGGTGCGTTAGGGTTCTCCCTGAAGGTCTACTTTCTGATTAAGAATGCATCTCATCAATTTCCTTCTTGGTCTTTATAAATGGTACCTTCGAGGATCATTTCTACCCTACTCGAGGTCTGAGGCAGGGGGATCCCCTTGTCCCCGCATCTGTTCATCCTGGCACTGGAGGGGCTCTCAAGAATGCTGATCAAAGCTAAATCTAAAAATAGAACCCAAGGTGTCCAAATTGCCCTGGAGGCCTCGTCAATATCCCATCTTCTCTTTGTTGACGATGTATTACTCTTTCTTATGGCACATAGGGATGAGATGGATAACCTAAAGACCATTCTAATGCAATTCCAAGCCATGTTAAGCCAGCTCATAAATTTTGAAAAATCGGGTTTCTTCTTTTGTAAGAATATCCACCCCCGTTTGCAGAGATTGATTAGATAGGAGCTCTATATTAATCTCAATCTAACCTTGAAGTATTTGGGTCTGCCAATTTGTTGGTCCAGGAATAGAAATAATGACCTATCCTATGTCCTAGACAACATAAAAAATAAGCTCAAACACTAGAAGGCATCTGCTCTCAACCAACCCAACCTGGGCCCCCGACCCTTAGACATAGCCCAATAGCAAATCTAATTCACAACAACAGTTGGAACTAGAGGTTGATCCAACATCACTTCTTGGAGGATGGTCGGGATATCAACAATACACCCATATTCCCTGTAGAAACCTCCATCTCCTAGATTTAGACTCCCCACCCTTCTAGGAAATTCTCAACAAAGTATGCCTACACCCAAATCCAACATCTGTTGCACAACCCATCCCAGTCGACAAGAAAAAATGTTTTAAGTGTCTTTGGAAACTCTCCGACCCCCAGATTCCAATTGTTCCTTTGGAGAGTGGTAAATGGTTTCATCCCAGCTAAAGAACACATCTTGGCTAATGATCAAGACCAGTCCTGTCAATTTTGCAACGAAGCCCCCTGAATCGATCAACCACCTCTTTCTAGAATGTCATCCTGTTCACTCCCTCCATGGAATATAAACTTGCAAAACTTGTTTCAAGGGTCGTGGAAAATTGTATCCTTGCTCTCATGAATGTGTTAGTTCCATGCTTTAGTTAGTCCTTAGCTGGTATGCTATTGCTTTGTATTATATCTGATGGGCAAGGAATGAGAGGTGTTTTAGAGATAAGTAGATACCAATCGAGATAGTTATTGCTAAAATTAACGACATGTATCAGGCTTCTCAATCTTGGGGAGACGACACCTCTCATATCTCCTTCCCCCCCCCAATCCATATCACTTTTAGAGCTATCTACCTATCTAACCATCTCTCTTGTTGTATTGTAGGGGGCCTTTGTAAGAGGCTGGGCTCGACGGAAAAGGCAGAACTTAATGTGGTGATGCAAGGACTTAAGCTGGCAGTCCAACTGACAAGAGATCACATAGTTGTATGTTTAAACTCGTTGCCTGTGGTGAAAGGGATCCAGGAGCAATATTCTCTCCCTTGGTCTTACCTTTGGCTTTTGCGAAAGACCAAGGATTTACTAAAACTTTTAACTCTTTCTCTATCATTACTGTAAATAGAAAGTACAATGTTCCAACCAACCCATTTGATAGCACAAAGGGCCAAAAGCCTCGCCTATGACTACTTTTACTTATCGGATTACCCCCAAGGGATTACAAATGTTTTAAACTATGTTAATATTTTGGAATTATAATTTAGTTACTTTATCCTAAAAAAAATTCAACTATATTAAAACTAACAATATAATGAGGAACAAAATTACAAAAATGCCCATATTTAAATTGTCGTTTGCTCTTGAACTTTTATTTTACTCTTTTTCATATGGAATTATCTCTATACTTCTTTTTAACAAAGAATAAACTGTGAAGAAAAATAAATTTGGAATATAGGCATTTTTATAATTATATCATCATTATAATGTTAGTTCTAACATAATTGGGAATTATGATCTGCCCCTCACAACCCCTCCTCACGTTGACCTCACAGCCACATCCCATCATGTATTGAGAATATCTCCATGAATAACAACATACAAGTATAAGAGATGTTCCCGATGTATGACCAGTACATGCTGTGAGGAGCGCTCTCTGAGAAACAGATCCAGACTCCAGAGTTAGACTCAAGTATATATTTCTAAAAGTTCATGTTGTCAAATATGAATCTAGATCTGCTCCTCAAAGAGCATTCCTCACACTGACCTTACATCATGCCCTGACTGTGAATCGGGAACATCTCTCTTGTATTTATTATTCATGGGAAATGTTCCCAATACACGGTGGGATGTGGATGTGAGGTTGGTGTGAAGAACGCTCAGTGAGAGCAAATCTCAATTCACTAATTATTGCATTTGAAAGATCAGATTCAGCCCCTTAACTCAAGTAAAGTACCTATATATAATTTACCCTAGATATTACATAGCAGAAAGACCGCTAGCTTGTAGCTTTGGAGCTTTCTCACGAAAAGTTAGGCCAGACCACTAGCTTGTAGCTTTCGTGGCACACAAAAGAGATTTTTGGATCTCTAGATCTGGATGGATGATAGCACAGGGTTAGCTCTAGCAACCACTCCACTTAATTGTTGGTTGTTGCCTTGTTGTTGGTACCATCCCCCCCCCCCCTCTCTCTCTCTCTCTCTCTTCTCTATGGGCATTGTTGGTGCTTGGAAGTTGGTACCATTCTCGTAGGTTGTGGGTCTTGGGAAGAAGACAAGTTCAGGATTGTGTTCGAAAACTCTGTCCCAGGCTTCGGTTCCATCACACGTTTTCTTTAGGATGGGGCAGAAAACCTGTGAAGGTCTTGGGGGTTTGGATTGTCCATGCAACTGCTCGGTTGCTGGCTTTTCTTGTATTTTTCGAAATGTTCAATAATGCAAGCTCTCTCTTGTGAATTGTGATGAGACTTATATGAAGATGAATGCATAGATGATGATGGTGATATAAGATGAAGAAGAGTCTGATAAAACCTAAAATCCAAGGAAAATTAAATACAGCCAGCATCCCAAGCATTGACGAGGCATTTAATGATTAGAGATGCATTACACACATAAAAATATATTTAAGCTGAAGAAGTTCAGAAGAAACTAGCTAGTATAGGTTTTCAATGCAACACTACCCCGATTAGAATTCAGAATTAGTTAGTTGTATAAACCCAAGAAGAAGAAAGGCAAGACGAACCCAACCCACAAAGCAGAGGGAGCTCCTCGTGGTAGATATATGGAAGCAGCAGCAGATGGGGTGGGTCCAGTGGCCTCGACAACTGTGGAGATGATCATGGGCTGCTGCTGGTTCTCTGTGTTTTGCTGGGGCAGAACCTCCACATTTAACTTGAGACCCTGCTTGCAGTTCTCGGGCCTTCCGCTGGTGAAGTAGCGGGTGCCTTCTACGTCGAGGCTGACGCTGTCTAACCCATTGGTGTACATTCTGATGGGATTACTCACGTCGCACGATTCCAACTCCTCTTTGCTTCTCAACTCCACAATGCTTTCCTGCGCGATTGAATACGCAAACCCTGCCACAGACTCACACACCAATACCAATATCACTTCTTAATAAACGCTGCTTAAGCTTAATTGCTTAAAAAGGAAGGGTTCATTAAGAAAAATTCTCAGTCCTGTTGACAGCCCAGGCTGTTGAGCCTGGGTAGTCAAAGAGTTTTCTCGAAGGAGATGCCTCGGTTCCGGTCTCTTCTTTAGGCCGGTCCATTTACATCACCGTACACGTGGCAAAACGCATATGGCATCAACAACGTGATAACGGGAAACGACAATAACGTTGTCTGGACTCTGGAGCTCTGGCCAGTTTGCCAGTTTCCGTTCCCTTCATCACAGTTCCTGACCGAACTGATGGTTTTTCCGGGTGGCGCAGAAAAAGGAATGATACACATACACCCAGAAGGCCAGAAAGACAAAAAATTATCCAATGGAGCAGATTTTGTGCGTTATTAATTGGTTGTTCTACAATCAATGAAATCTGAATTACTTTTGTTTCCCAAAGGAATAAGATTTCGAAGAATCTTCTTATTTGTTAAAGCTTAGAACTGAAACACTATATGCAGATTATAAAGAAGATAAAAGAAATCGATCGAAATGAAAATGCGGAAGGATTGGTAAAGTGAACCAAAAATAAAGGCTGCCCACGTGTTTAATATGAAATGGAAGAAAGTAGAACCTTACTCCGACTGAGAGGGATTGAGAACTCACAGAGATTATCGCCGACCCTGAAAATCCTACCGGACGACCAAGCTCCGATATCGGAAGATGAATCCCACCCACGATCGTCTCCAACCACATGGTGAACTTGGGCTACTACCCATCTCCCTCCAGCGCTCACAGAAATTAAGACCAGAAGAAGCATCAACATAAGGGAACCCCGCACAGGCACAGCCATCGGAGAAGAGAGGTTGGGCCTTCTCTGTAATCTTCAAGAGAAAGGGGAGTAGTTGAAGTGTTGTTTAAGTAAGGCGAGGCGGGCCTCTTCTACAGTGTCTTCATTCTTTGAATGCTCCCTTTTCAAGTTTTTTTTTAACACAACTCCACTTTCCTAGCTTTTTGGTAGCCGAGAGGAGAGGACTGGTAGGTTTCTCTGCAGGAGCATGTAGTTTTCCCTCGTTTATTTATAAAATATATGATCTCGGATCGATTGCTGTTAGCCAATAAAAACGCCCCACATCAGTCATCAACGTTGTGGCCTTGTGGGGCAAACATACATTTTGCAAATTAATTTGCTACGACCGTATCGTAACGCTGCGCTTAAATCAAAAGTTGAAAACTTTTGATGGGTTTTCATGGCCCCACCTTGAATTAGATGAGGTTATTTTTTTGGGTGGTCCACTGCAATTAAAGATTTTGCTTGCGTTAAGTTAGAGATCAGATCTGCTCCTCACACCAGGCGCCTCACACGCACATCCAATCCTGTATGGGGAACATTTTCCGCACTTATTAATTATTATTCATGGGAAATGTTCTCGATGCACTGTGGATGTGCATGTGAGACGCCATTTTGTGAGGAGCAGTTCCTGTCTCGTTAAGTTAATGTAGATTCTATCTTTTCTGGTGACGTAGGGCATTATTATTGGTTAAACAACCTTTTAATTAATATAAAAGGGACGGGGAACTAGGGAAGGGGAGTGGGGGAAGAATCATTTTGATGTTGTACACTTTCGGTGGTAATTTCAAAGATAGAGATGATAAAATGGTGTGGAGGTCAGTTCTAATGTTATGTTGTTAGTTAAAGATATATATATTAAAGGAAGTTGTTTAGGCTACAGTTCCATCGTTTAGATATGTAGCATTTTTATTTTTCTAGAAATTTAAATATATGGCTTTTTTTTTTTGAAAAATTATTGTTAAAGCCTACAACCCACTACTACCATTTAGATAAATGGCTCTCTCAGTTTCTAAAAAGTTAGACATGTGGCAATTTTTGAGAAATTCTTGTTAAAACCCACGACCCACTACCGGTCTACAGCCCCCCACCATTCAGACATGTGGCCTTTTCATTTTTCTGGAAAGCTAGACACGCTGCATTTTCTAATAAATTGATGTTAAAGCTCATAGCCCACTATCATCATTTAGACATGTGTATTAATTCAATAAACAAGATTCAAAAAGTGGGTTGTTTCACTCCTAAACATTCTCAATAGACAACTATTCATTAGCTTAACACATGTTTATCCATAATCTATTAAATACAAATGGTGGGACCCATTAAAAGATTACCATAAACCCACATTTGTTTTTAAATAATTTTTTTTTAAAAAAGAAAGTATTTTATTAATTACAAACTTGATTTAACTTATAGGGAGCAACCTAATTTAACCTTTAAAAATAAATAACTCAAAATAGATTTATTGGATAAATAGTAAATACCAAATAAAGTGGGTTATTGTTTACCAATAAGATCTTATGTAATATCTTATATCAAATTAAAAAAAAAAACATAAATTAATAATGGGTTTCAAATAAAATAGGTTAGAATAGATTGTCAATTGCAAAGACGTAAAACCCATATTAGTTTTTTTTAATTTAATTTTTGATAACTAAATAGTAAATTTCAAACTAAACTATACACACATTTAGTTATCCTATACTTAGTACGGGGGTCATTCTCTAGTGATCAATTAAAGAAGCTCTATATGGGTTATAGGTTGGGAGTTCGGATCTATTCTCACTACGCCTCACACTGACCTCACAACATGTCTTGGCTTTATATTGGGAATATCTCTCATATTTATATTTATTATTCATGGAAATATATTCATGACACGGGGTGGGATGTGACTGCAAGATCGATGTGAAGCGTGCTCTGTGAGGAATAGATCCCAATTCATGGGTTGAGGGGTGGGCTACCCCTGTTATGACTTATGACCTGCAATCCCAGTTCATGGGTTGGGGGATGGGCTAGTGGGTGGATGTGATAACTAACAATAGAGATAAGATATATGATTAATTCTGGGAGATCGGCTTTATAATGTGGTACCTATGGACAATAGGAGTGAAAATTTTTTTAATAGTAAGCTAGGTGTGTGCAGAGAGTGTTAGTAAGGCTGTCTTTGGTTGCAATGCAAATAAATTTGCACTGATACAAAACCATAGCAGTGCAAATGATTTGAGTGTAAATTCTGATATATTTTTATTTCAAATTTTAGCTTATTTTACTTGATTACAGTACAAACAAAAATAAAACAAATTAAGAGATAACGTAGAATAAAGTAAAATCCAAAACAAAATTAAACAATAATTTGTATTTTTTTATATTTACACTCCTATCCATTTGTAAAATTGCACTGCAACCAAACACGGCCTAAAGCCTTGCAGAGTGAGTCTTCAAGATTATTTGGAAGCTCAGAAGAGCCTTGGGCGTATCATTAAAGAAGGAAATTGTTTAAATTAAATGGGTTTTGCACGCTTCACACCAACTTCACAGAATGTTAAAGGTGTGCATTAGAAATATCGCATGAATAACAATATACAAATAGAGGAGATATTTTCGATGTACATGAGATTGGAACACATTATGTGAGATCAAATCTGATGTTTGGGTATATAGTCAAAAACTTCAAAGGAGAGTTTATTAGAATAGCCAGGGAATCAATAGGAGTTTCCCTGGCTAGAGGCCCATAAAAATGGGCCTACAGTACTTTTAACAGGGAATTAACACAGCATATTTTTACTTTACAAATCACAATGAAACCCAATAATAATAATAATAAAGGCCATGTCGCAGGGGAATTATATTTTGCTATTGGGGCTGTGCACTTGTCCCATCATCAATAGGGTTGAAGTGATCACGTTCAATTCTTTCCTGCAGCTGCCTAAGCTCAATATATAGAAGTTTCTTGGTCATGTCTTTCTATACTCAACCTCTCCCTCCAGGAAAAATAATTCTCAACTCAAGATTTTTTAGTACAATTTCAACTTTTTCAATACCCTCTAATCAAGAGGTGGTTGTTGCTATTTGGAAACCTCTCTTGTCCCACCCAGCGAATAGAGTGCCACCCATTTTGGGATTTCCATATTTCCATGACTCGTTTGTTTGCAGTACAGTTTCATTTGTATTGGATAAAAATATGAATGTGTAGATGTGTTGAGAGCAAATTCTGGTTTATTTTCTATTGTAGGTTTTATTTTGTTTTTTGTTTTTTTCATTTGCATTACAAATGAAAAAGTAAAACCTGCAGTTAAATAAAAGTAACACCTACAGCAAAAGTGAATCCCTAAACCATTGGGGATCTAATTTTAAAGTAGGCAATTTTTTGTGATATTTCTGTTTCTGTGGGTCAGATTGAAATGTTGAGCTAAACATTTCACTCTAACTTAATTTGGTTGATTTATTTCATCTTATCAAATTTTTAAATGAAATTTAATAATATATTTATAAATTTTAATCACAGCGTGAATCTCATATACCTTTGTGTTCACTGATACACTTTAAATCAAAGCCCAATAGAGTGTTAACGCAGATGGGATATCCATTTGATTGGTTAGCACTTTTTTTATTCCAGGTGATTAGTTATAAATTTTTTTCCGGTTTTATGTTTTTCTGGCATCAAGGTCGAACTCTTAAAAATATGAGCTAGTGTTCTGTGCACTCATGGGTGCACTGGACGAGTGCACCTTCGAATGAGAGGCGAACACGCCATCTCATCTGTGTTAACTGCAAATTAATGGAAATTTTCTCTGTTACTAACCGTTTCACTGGTTGAACTGGCCATTTTTTACTCTCCTTTCCATTTTTGGCTCTCCTCCATCGAACCCAAGCATCCATCGGCGACTCACTGCACACCGGATCGTGAACGCATAAACCACCAGCAGTGGGAGAGTGTCCGGTGGACCCGTCTACCACAGAGAAGAGGATTGTTGATCTGCAACAGAAGCTCTTCTGGCAGAGACAAGAAGTGAAGTATCTCAAGGATCTCTCTGGAGACGAAGCTTTGATACAGTCACGATATTGCTTGTAAGGTTGATCTTCATTGTTCTAGCAAGAATCAAGAATTGGACAAGGATGTCTACCAACCAAACAGTTCTTCCTTGTCACGAAGCCTCTCTGTGTATGCTGCCATCCACCCCTCCGAGAACCCAACTTGTAAATTTGCCTCGGGCCATTGATAAAGACATCCAACCGTGGTGAGAAGGAAAACCAAGACCTCTGTCATGGATTCTTTGAAGCAAACACCAAGATTTTAAAACCACCGCCGAGAGTGTAGCCACAATCTTTAAGGATATTAAAATACTAATCCAGCCCAATAATAGCTGGAGACCGCCGGTGTGAGCTGCGGTTCAGGTTCATTCACCTTCGTTCGACTAAAGACTAACCACCGGTGTGAGCTGAGTTTTGGTTCACTCACCTTCGATCTGTTGAAAAACAAAAACTAGAAAGACCATTATGTTTGTAGGAAGAAGAAGAAGAGGATGCCAGAGAACATACCGCCGGACACTCTCGCCACCGGTGGCTTCCGAGTGGACGGCGCTGGTGTGGATTGAGCTCGCCGGTGCGTGGGGTAGGGTTCGATGGAGGGGAAACAGAAAATGGGAGGGAGGGTTAGAACTGAGATATTCTTTTAGCTCATTTTGTGTCCGGTTCAACCGGTCACTTCAATTAACAGCCATGTGAAGTGTTAATGTTAGCTTCTTTTCGCCCAACTGACGTGGTCGACTCTCATTCGAGGGTGCACTCGTCCAGTGCACCCACGGGACCACAGAACGTGGACTCTAAAAATATTATAGTTTAAAATTTAGGTAAAGTGTTGATTTTCAGACGCCACCTTTGTTTGGTGTTGCTTTCAGATCTGAAATTTTTAAAATCAGGCCTAGGGCTGTTCATAAGAAGGCCCAACCCGACCAACCCGACCAATCCGGACCGACCCAACCCGAGTCGGCTGGGTTTTCATCAGCACGGGTCGGTTTCGGGTTGTGCAAATTCCTAAATCGATGATTCGGGTCAGTTTCGGTTTTCACACAAGAAAACCGAAACCGACCCGAACCAAACCGACTTATTTCCTAGTTCAAACATGAAGTTCCAAAGCTCATTAGGCCACCTAGTTTTTAAGTGGTTGCAAGAAACTTTGGATTAGTGAATAG